TAAGGAAAAAATCACTGACAAAGGAGAATAATACACTAATATCAATAATATGGAAGATTACAAATTGTGTAGTATGTAAGGACGATTTTTCGAAAGGTTTACTCCTCATATTTATAATACAAAGAAGAGCCTACGACAAAATGGAATCCTAATATAACAGGTAAAACCAATAATGAAAGTGCTTGAGATTGAATACGAGTTCAAAAACTACAAAAATCGAGAAATCCTAATTTTTCGAATATCAATCGCATTAACAGCTCATTTGCGACTAACGAGCGATGCCATGACTGCTCGAATGATCATTTGGGAATTAGTGAATGACTATTGTCCTATTCTGGCTACTCAAGAAACTGATGAGTGGCCATCAAGTAGGTTTGCTATTCGCCTTGGTCCATCCTTTGATTGCCCTGGTCTATCCTTTGACTTCTTTAACTTTTTGCAGTCTTTTACTTTTTCAAGACTTTTCCAAAAAAAAAAAAAAAAAAAAGGCTCCCAATATACCTTCAAAATAGAATTCGGTTCATACTGAAATTCTAACAAATCCAACCTTGACATGAATTCCACTGCAAGAAACAAAATTTAAGTCTTTCACACAAACTTAACTCCAACAAAATTTTCACCTTTTTCATAAACGCGCCTGAAGGCAAACTCGGAACATGTCAAAAACATACTATGTAATAGCTCATTTCTTAGTAAGATCTCCAACAAAATCAGAGTCAACTCAACTAATTACTTTTGTAGGAGGTTCTTCACTAAACTCAATACATTCGACCACATTTAAAATATAAGCAACCAAATTAGTTTCACCTACCTCAATGGAGTCATAATATCTCTTCTGTGTCTATCTTTGGCAATAGAATATAGTGGCACCATTGGTCGCATAGTGGCATTATCCTCAACTTCTAAACTAAAATGAGATATATTCTCTAATGTAGATCAGGAACCAAACTCCAGCTGTATTGGACTAATCTCAAACTTTACTTAAGTGATTAGCTTCAACAAATTTGTATCAAAAGATTCTATAGAACCGTGTAAGACATATAATTAGGAGCTTCTCTGCTCCTTCATCACAACGTGAGAACCTTTACTAACCTTCGGGACTCCACCTTTACTAGTGTATTTGTATTCTTTTGAGTCAAGAGTAATCAAAGAGATAAGATTTATCTTCAAATGTGGAACATGTCTCACATCACCAACTATCCTGACCATCCCATTGAACATCTTAGTCCCGACCATTCCAATACTCGATAGCTCACAAGATGCATTATTCTCCATCACAACAACACCTTTAGAACTTATTTCATATGTTGAAAATCAATCCCGATTGAAAAATAATATGACACATATAAAGTGTATCAAGTATCTAATCCTCATTAGGTTTGGATTCATCATTACAAATAACCAAAAGTTCTCCATCATTGTAGAAATATTCTACAATATTGTCTTTAACTAAATTTTCTGGTTGTTTTCTCTTCTGATTAGTAACAACCAATTTTTCTTTATTCTACAACTTATAATTATCAAATTTAATATCCTCCTTCTTACAGCAATTACAAATTTTATTACTATAATTAGACTTTGACCTGTCCCATATGTAACCACCATGAACAAAAAGCCCTTCTCCATGAGTCTCAAATCTAACAAGATACGTCATCTTCTCATTTGAAAATAAAGCATCATATATTTCTTCAATGGTGAGAGTATCGTGATTGTACAAAATAGTGTCTCTAATAGACATATATGAAGCGGGCATGGAACACAATATAATCATTCATAAATCTTCTTCATCATACTTAATCTACATGGCTTCATATCAATGAAAATTCCCTTAAAAATAGATAGGTGATCTTCTAGAGTTGTGTCTTCTATCTCACTATGAGAGTACAATTGCTGATTCAAGTAAAATTTACTTGTTAAGCATTTTGTCATGAGTAACTGCTCTAATTTCAATCATACTGTATCGACAATTTTCTCATTTAAAACGTTTTGAAGAATATAATTCGATGAATGAAGATAAATTTGTAATAGGACATTTCGATCTTTACATTGTTTCTTCTCCATCATTTAAGTTGATGGCATCTTATAAAATTCCAATAAAGTATCATCCAAATCCATCCGAGTCCCGAGCGAGCATTGCTCATATCTTTAGCTGCCATCACGAAAATTTGATGTTGCGATGCAAAAGTGAAATATCTTATTTCATGTTGTCATCATAGAAAATCAAACCTCACTCTGAATTGATCAAATCTAGCTCTGATACCAATGTGTTAGAAATAAACGAGAACATAGCAGTATGAAAACTAATAACAAAAACATAAGATTTAAGTGGAAACAGAACTAGGGAAAAATCACGGATAGAGGAGAAAAGTTCATTAATATCAATAATATGAAGGATTACAAATTTTATAAAATGTAAGGATGATTTTCCAAGAGGTTTGCTCATCATATTTATAATACAAAGAAGAGCCTAAGATAAGTTGGAATCCTAATACAAGTAAAATCAATAATATAGTGTTCGAGATTGAATAGGAGTCTAAAAATTGCTAAAATTGAGAAGCCCTATTATTGCTAAAATTGAGAAACCCTATTTTTCCGAATATCACTACTGCTTAAGCGGCACCATCACTGCTAGTTAGCGCGAATATCCTATTTTGAGCACTTGAGCACCTAATGAATTGTTAGAGAGAGGTTTCACTCTTCACTCTGGTCTATCTTTTGACTTCTTTGACTCCTTGTAGTCATTTTCTTCTTCAAGACTTATCCAAAACAAGCAACCAGCTCTTAATATACCTTCAAAATAGAATTCGAGTTACATCGAAATTCTAACCGAAGATATGAGTTCTTTATTTAAGATAAATGTGAAAATTAATCTCTAAACCTAAAACGAATCAATAATTGATTGTGAGTGAGTCTTTAAAGTCAAACAAAGTACAATTAAGACCGAGCCTTTAAGATTTAAAGCTAGGTTAGTAATTAAGGGATACGTACAAAAATAATAAAATATTTTCTCCGAATGTTAAGTATATTATAATTAGACTCGTGCTTGCATTAATTGCACATTTTGATAGGGAACTTGAACACCTCGCTATAAAAAATGTTTTTTTTTATGTGATGAATTAGATGAAAAGATTTTTATGTCTCAACCACACAAGGTTTAAAGATAAACAAAAACATGAAAATGTGTATTTTTTAAAAGGTCGTTGTATGGTCTAAAAAGTCTCCTAAACGGTTATATAAAATATTTGATTCATTAGTGCTTACTATTGATTTCTAAACGAGTAAGTTTGATTACTTGTACTATCAACATATAGAATCTAATATGATCATGTGTTCTTATTATTGTATGTTGATGATGATCTCCTAATTGGCTACTCTGTGACATTCATAAATGAGATAAAAATTTTATTAAGTTGAGAGTTTAACATGAAAATGACTGAGAAAAAGCAAAGAGAATCCTGGGTATGAAAATAGAAGAGATTGGTAAAATTATTTGTTGGGTTAACATCAAACTCCATGTGTTAAATGTGTTGAAAAAGTTTGGCATGCATGAATATAAACCTTTTACACTAGCTTATCAAATCATTATGTTTTATATAAAGATTAGTCACCTACTAATGATTAAGAAGTGGAATATTACATGAGTCTTATTCAAATGCAATAGGTTCTATAAAATTGAAAGGTTATAAACTATGGACTATGTGGGAGATAGGGATAATATAAAGTCTACTTCTTCTCATATGTATTTACTTTGTTTAATTCATGTATAATTTGGAAGTCTCAAATCAACCCGTATATAGTTGCACTGCATATTACTGAGTCTAAGTATATTTTTACCACCGAAGCAATTAAGCACTCTTTTTTGTTTAAAGATTTGCTTGAAGAATATTGTGAAAGAACTTTCTCAAGTTCTACTACATATTGTGTCACAATATTTCTAATGAAATGTAATATGATGTCAATGTGCATAATACGCTCATGAATTGTGTGTGTGTGTGTGTGACAATTCCACAGTTCATGAGCGTATTATGCACATTGACATCATAGTACATTTCATTAGAAATATTGTAACACAATATGTAGTAGAACTTGAGAAAGTTCTTTCACAATATAATCCCTTATATATGAGTAACAAGGTATTTACTTTGGTAAATTTCAAAAGATGTCTAAATCTTCTCAACATCGGAAAAGGTCAGTGAGTTCCATATTGGTTTTTTGATTGTTTAACTATTGAATTCGTTTATTCTTGATGGTAGGTAAGGAAGAAGCAAAAGAAGAGGCAGAAAGAAGTGTAGATTTTCTGCACAAAGGTTTTTTGACGTCAGTGTGAATGTTTTTTGGTTTTTGTGTTGCAAAATAACCTTGGACAATTTTCGGTCTTCATTAATTAATAAAAGAATTAAAAGGTCCGAACATTTCACCAAAAAAAAAAAAAAAAGGACCAGTTGATTAGGCCTAAAATATAAAGTGTCATTCGGAGGATTAACATATTAACAAGTGCTGGTCAATGACAACTAAAGTATGAGAAATTGTGACCCTTCGATCTTCGTGAGATCAACGGTTGTGGATCCTCCTATGTAACGGAGGAACCTTAGCTAGCTTACTCTCTTGGGTTACCCTCGGTTTCACTCTCGTTTTTCTTTCTTCTTCTTTCCAACTGTTGCCTACCGCTTAGTGCTTGTTCATCATATTTTTTCATCATTGTGAATGTTTCTCTAGTGTTCTTATGGTTTCAAAGGTCGATCATCTTCATCTTCTGCAATGTGGCTGAGGGTAATTTTATGCGTGAGATGTGGACAGAACTGAGCCCCAGTTCTTTTGGATCCATGATTGATGTCGAAAGAACCTTGAGCGTGAATTTTGTTGGATTTGAAAACAAACTCTGGTTGAAACTTGAAGATTATGGGTAAAATGTTACAGTTAGTATATGCAGTATCAAAATGGATCTGATTATCTAATGGTCAAATTTAACCCTTTTTCTTTTTTAATATTGTCTGATAGAATAAACTCAAGTGAATAACTATTTCATTAGTAAAAACAAGAAAGTTCAGAATATACATAGGGACACTAAAATCGAAAAAGAAAAAATTATCATAGTCTAATACACAGCTTTCATCTTCGGCTTCGCATTCGAGCTCCCCAAGACATTCTTTCTCCGGAATTTGTTTTTCTTTGCTTCAAATCGTTCAATTGAGACTGCCACCTCATTTTCCACTCCCCATGTCTCTCTTCCGATCTCTGTTCGATGAATAAACCAAAAATTCAGTATATTTTCACAAGATTTATAGCTTATGAATGAATAAAATTACAGATTCTAGTTACCTGGTTATATTCATATCCTCTTCCAGCAGAGAAATTGAAGCCCATTCCACTAGCTAAATCTCGATCATACAGAGCTCTGGTGTGTGGATCAGAAAGGGTTTCATAAGCCTCTTTAACCAATATAAATCTCCTGGTGTATTCATCCACACGCTCTGGTGGAGACACATCAGGATGATATGTTCTTGCCATTTGTTTATAAGCTTTCTTTATATCAGCAATTGTTCCACTTTCTGTAATTCCCAACAAATCATAGAAACTGTCTGTGCTTTGCGTTGATGAATTAAATGCCTTAAAACTGGCTCTGCACCTTTTGTTTCTGGAAATCCCAAGTGGAGTTTTGATTTGAATTCTTGATTTTGTCAACTGTGAACCGAAGGAAACGCTTGAAACTGTTTCAGGAATGCAATTTTTGGTGGGTTTGTCGGGTTTCGAGCAGAAGTGAAAGCAGGTTTCGGAACCTGAAACTACTGCACAACTCATTCTTTTGCTTTTCTTTTTCGTTTTTAGATTTGCCTCTAAAATTTTCTTCTTCTGTGATTCCTTGACTGTCCGAGTTTGTATGTATATATAGGAAAACAGAATTTGACCAGTACAGTTCTAGATGAGTTTGAAGCCTTTTAGGGATAATTTCATTTCTGGTACTAAAAATTTCAGTTACATATGAATTAGGTCTTATAACTTTTATCAGTGTCAAATCTTTAACCATAAGTCTCTCTGTTTTCGAACCTAGCATTGTTAGCTCATATTTTTGAAGTACACATGTCACTTAATCATGTTGTGACTACAAAATATTTACTTGATGAATGAATAGAGCACCGAGTAAGTAATGTCATTATTTAAAGAATGATTTATTTTCTAATTTTACTGTCACGAAATGATTAAGTGACATATTTATTTCGATACTTAACACATAGATTGCTCATGGTCACTTCGAATGGTAATATGTGCTTGCAAAGTAACAAACATTAAAAGTACATTGAAGTTCATTAATTTAATTAAGATCTACAAAAGTTGAATTTCCACTTTATATTAAATAATGCTGAAGGAACAGGGAATAAAAATAGGGAAAAAAACGTTGTGAGTAGGCATTGGGTAGATAATTAGATAAAGGAAGGGCTCGAACGAGCCTATAAATAAAAAAATAAAAAAAATAAAAAAAGAAGAAGAAGACATCTTTGTGTTGATTTTGTTCGAAAGGCCCTTCTTATTCTGATGGCCTGGCCTGGCCTGGTCAGTACCTAGCCGGGCCCCTTTTTTTGTTCCAACGAATTATAGATAAATAATGATTTATTTGATTTGAAAACAAAAATCCTTTTTATTTATTATATTCAATTGAATATAAAATATTCAAGCAACAACAAAAAGAAGAAAGACTATTTACATTCTTTTTATTTTTCTATTTGAATTTTAGTTTCATTTTCGGAACTAAAAAAGAAACCATCGATTATTCCACAATACATTTTTCTGTTATGATTTTAGTGTTTTTTGTGATCCGTAGCTATCAAAACTTCTTCAGCAAAAGATAGCTTCAGGTACACCTGTTACAATTTTCACCGCTCAATAACCAATTTGGTCCCGAGGTAAGGAATAACCAGTTACGCCAAAAGATGCGATCAATACCCCCAGAACCACACCTGTAACCCAAGTCAATTCGCGAGGTTTTTTAAATCCACCCGTGAGATACACACGAAAAACATGCAGGATCATCATTAGGACCATCATACTTGCGGACCATTGCATTGGGTGTTTTTATGGTTTTTTTCCCAATTTCCAATGAAAGATTGCCTAGTGTTGTCTGGAAATAATTTTCTGTCAAATTTCACTGAAAGTCAAGTATGGGGCCCACTCAAGATAGAGATATCTTTGTTTTGGCTATTACCTGGCATGTGCAGTTGGGGTTCGGATAGAAAGTTGTTCTCAATCCAAATTTTTTAATAAAAAGTTTAATGATAATTTGATAGCTTAAGTTTTAAATAATATCGTTAAATACGTATCAAGCTTCTAGAATCAATGTTCTAGAAATCATGTTATAGGTACACAAAGATTAAACTAAGGGAGATTTTTTTGGTACGAGAGCTTTTAAAAATCGCTAAAGTGTTTCGTTAAAAAGACCTTTTTTAACTAAAAAGTTGACTTTACCCTCATACTTTTATTTACTTGGATCTCAAGAAGTTATTAAGAAAGTATCAAATGATGAGTAATAACTACATAAGAGCAAGACAGGTAAGAAGTTTTTAGCAATCTCGAATTATCCAAATAAATTCAAAAGGATAAGAGGATAAATATGTAAGAAAATTAATGAAGTGGATAAGGAGTGGGGTCGGATGAGGTGGTAGAAGAGGTGTGGATGAAAAAAAAATGGTAAGAAAAATATTTAGGATAATTTTAAAGAAAATAATATTAAAATAAAAGGCAAAGAACATTAAACAAAAAAAGCCAAGAAATTCAAGAAAAAAGGTAAGAAAAAGTCCAAGAAAAGAATATTAAATTTTAGGAACCCTATCTTGAAATTCTTGTGGTGTCAATTCCCAAGAAACACCATCTTTATTACTATTTCAAAAAAGGTTATAAACCAATTTCAAGAAACCTTTTTTTGGAATCCTTGGGGTGTTCTCATTCTTCTTTTGATATTTTCTTCTTGAGTCATTTCTCAAGTCTTATTATCCTTCTTATTTCTTGAGTTCTTGTTGAACTGAACATTATAAAGATTGAATTCTTGATTGAGTCTAGTTAATTCCTCGAAGAATTTGACAAAGAAAGCATAGAGAGAAAAATTGCAAGAATGGTGAGCTAATTATCGGGAAAAAATCCAATATTGAATGAAATATTTGAATGTAAACACGTAAGGATTACTTTATTAGTTATTAAGATATCTGACAAATGAGAATCTACATCTAGAGATTAGAACAACAAAATTTTCATGTTGAAAATAATGCAACACAATTTGAGAGGACAGATGTAGTGTTTGGAGAAATTAGAAATAGAATACATAGGTAGCTTACTGTGATTACAAACTTATGAAGGGAACAACTAAAAAGAGTTCGTGTTGTTAGGAGGAAAGATAAGTGTGATCCTAAGGTTGAATTTGAAAATGAGAATAAAATAGAAAGTGAGAATGAGGATGACCAAATCTTGATGGTTGAAGTGGGTAAGACGAGGAAAAGAGGGGATAGGTGTGAAAAGGGGCCTAGAGAAGATCTTAGAGACTTTGATGGTTGAGATAGAGGTAGAGTTGATCCAAATTTGGGCAATATTAAGATGTAAATTTCTTCATTTGAAGGTAGAAACAATCTTGAAGCTTATTTGGAGTAGGAGAAGAAGTTGATATTGATCTTTGATCCCATAATTATTTCGAGGAGAAAATGTTAAAGATAATAGTGATAGAATTTATTGATTATGCAATAATATGGTGGAATCAATTGGTGACAAATAGGAGAATGAATCACGAGAGACCTATAGAAATATGGGGTGGGGTAAAAGCTCTCATGAAGAGGAGATTTATGCCTAGTTATTGCTATAGAGACCTTTATCAAAAATTGAAAAACCTTAGCTAAAGATCAAGGAGTGTAGAGGATAATTATAAGGAGGAGGAGACAGCTATGATTGGGGCAAATGTTGAGGAGGATAGAGAGGCTACAATAGCCAATTTTTGGATTAATTAGGGACACACTGGCGGACCCACATGGGGTCATGTGGGGTCAAATGACCTCACAGATTTTTGGATTTTCCTTTTTTTTTCCCTTGCTTAAAATGTAATTTTCTGTCAAAGTAGTGAGCCAACCCAATTAATTTTTCTAACCCAATGCCCAAAAAGCCCAATCCTAAATTCAATTGTAGTAGCACATGATTTTATTTTTGTTAATGATACGTTGTTCGAAAAGAAAATTCATTTTTGATCCCACAGTTCTAACTGTCTGAGTCCGCCCCTGTAGGGATATAGCGAATGTAATTGAGTTACAACATTATTTAAAGTTGGAGGACATGGTGATATAGCTATGAAGGTAGAGAGGCAATTAAAAAGGAAAGAAGTAGCCAGGTATTCTTTGGGTTCTAATCCTCCTTGAAAATCAAATTGAGATAATAATAATAGGAGTGATGGGGCTATATCAAATAGTAAGGTCGAACAATCTAGGGGAAAAGAAGAAGTTTCTAGCAAAAATAAACTCAAGTAAGGTTTTCAATCTCCTAGAATTAAGTATATCAAGCGTTTTAAATGCTTGAATTTGGGGAACATTGTATCTCGATGCTCAAACAAAATGGTAATGATCTTACTTGATAATGAGAAAGTGGTGACTGAAGATGAGAGTGATGATAATGATAATTTAACTCATAGAACAAATAATATATAATTATGAAAAATTGTACGGTGTACCCGAAGTGCATACCATGTACACACCAAGTACGCACAAGGTGCAGTGCATACCGTGTGTCGTCCATTTTGTTTTCTTATATTTTTAGAGTAATATTTAATTATGGTAAAATATTTTCTCAGATTTAAAGTTATCAATCACACAAAGACGAAGTGAGTGGAGTTAAGTGTATATATATGTATTTGGCTTTTCACTGAAAGTATTTATGTTGATATTTTTCTAGAAATCTCCACCTTGATAATTTTTCATGAATCATTAAAGTCTATTGTAATTGACATTGTGTTCTAATCATTAGTGTGCCATTCTTTTTTGTAGGCGTCACATACTAAATGAATAACAGGCTGTTGGCATATCAATGATAATCACGGTCATAGTCAGTCATAATCATGACCATGTACAACTTTCTTGTTTCAAGTTATTGAAATGACCTGGATCAATGAAAGAAATTCATGAATTATGAACAATTAAGTTTTTGAATTATGCACAATTATGATGTTATGCTCGAAAATGAAGAATATTGGTACATGTTATATTGATAGAAATGGCGTACTAAAATAAATTTCATGGCAAAAATATATCACATGAACATGCTCTCCAATCACTGAATAATTTACAATTTTTTTCTTCAAAAGTTTTTAAGAAATGGAGCGCGGATATTTAGTTACAAGTGTTGAGGGTTGGACTATTTATCCTGATCAGCTTGATGTACGTTGGGTTACTATTTATAATTTATGGTTCTATGAAATAACCGTACCTGATAAATATACTTGGGAGATGAGTGTGATACAAAATGCATATGACTCGTGTGTTCGACTCTTGAAGAGTATATATATTGGTTACAAGTACAATGAGTATAATCAATATTGCTATTCTAAATGGATGTAACCATTTGCTTTTGACAACATGTAATAGACATTTGACTATAAATTGTAATAATTGAACTTATTTTTCAAAATTTTATGAGGTCCATTTGGAACAGTTGGATGAAACTGGAAAAAAAAATAAAATTGTAAGAATTTCCCATATTATTAAATTTCTTTTTCGGACTTGTCCATAGGTAGATCTAAATTAAATGTTCCAAGTGTTGCACACTTCGCCAAATTTCACTCAAAATTTTTATGCAAGAAATTCCTAAAGGTATCCTACTAAATATGCAATTGCTAGCCATTTAGAAAAA